AAGGAAAGGAAAGGAAAGGAAAGGAAGGAAGGAAGGAAGGAAGGAAGGAAGGAAGGAAATCAAATAAGCCCATTTCGAAGAATGAGAAAAAATGTTCAAAATTAACCTGGTCATTTTCAGTACTGAATAATTTTGAACATTGTAATCTCTCTTGCTTGTTTACTGCTTTTGATACTTTCAAAGAAATATGATTGTCATATCTGTATGCCACTCAGATTGGAGTAGCCTATAAGCTCTGTAAATAACAACATAAATAAAATAAATGTAACAGCATGGTGTTCAACAACATTTATTTATTATTCAACAAATATTTAGACATATTTTAAAAATTAGAATCTGAACTAATATATATATTAAAAAACCCTATCACTTTAAAGACGGTGAATTTTGAATGCAATGTAGTTTGGATGGAGAAAAATATTAACTGAAGGATGGGAAAGCTTTTTTTTTTAAAAAAAACTTTTATCAGCAGTTCACTGGATCTGAAGAGTGAAAAACCAATTGATATTCCCCCCCTCCAGGAAAATATACTCATATGAAAGGCTAGAGTTTCTTTTAAAGTTAATTATTGTTTGGTATTTGCAGTTAAGGATTTGGTTGTTGGTGGTTTTAGGATAAGGTTTATAGAGATTACTTTAAAGCTAGCCTGCTGCAATCTTATTATCAGACAATAATGCTACTTTATGAATATGCTTTTATGTAGATCATTAGCAGCACATTGTGAAAATAAAATGACCTTGTTCCTGTACACAGTACATGAATCTATTTCTGACTTGCACTAAACTTACCAGAAGTTAGAAAAAGTTTATTTTGTTGAAATAATTATATCGTTATATTGTGGATATTTTACTTTAAACTAATTTTGTAATTTGAATTTTAACCAAAAGTTTTTGAATAGAGTCTTCAGGTCTCAAACATCACTGCATTGTCTTCTGATTAGAAAGCTGAAACTCTTATGCTTTTTTTTTTTTTTTTAAGAATGGTTATGGCCTTTTAAAATTGTTCTTTCTTTTTTTCTCTCTCTTTTCTATACAGGGTCAACCTGGTCCTCAAGTAAGTGTCATCTTGCATTATTATGGTTAGTGGAAGTGAGTGGGAAACAAAGTGACGCAATGTAGAAAGCTCTGGCATTTTTACCAGTCACCCATGACTTCTTTTGGAAGATTCCATCCCATGATTTTCTCTCCCCTAACAGATAGTTTATGCATTCATTGGTGCTCATTGGACTGTTTAGGGGTGTGTTTTCCTGTACTGGAATTCCTCCTTCCCAAACATTTTTCCTCTATTTATACAACTTTAGGATTACCTAAAGATGCTGAAGTCTTTTTCTTGTTTCCAAGTATGAGGATAATTACAAAAATTATGGAGTACAGAAAACAAGCTCATCTCGGACAACTTGGGCTAGATTTAAGCCACTGTCAACTGGCCCAATAATAACACAAGTAAGCCTCATTTATTTTCCAGGAAAAACAAATGGGCCCGCATATGTTTTGAGTTCTATCAGCTGCTTAACCAGCTGATACTTTAAGAAGGTATTGCTAAATGAAAGAGGTCTCTGAACTATGGCTTAAAACTTTGTCACCTAACTTTGAAGTAAGATAAAGTATCTTAATAAATTGTTGCTGGAGCTGGTTTTCATTAACTGCTTATTAATCACATGTTAATAATGCTGCTATAATCCAGGAAACCTCCAGTTATTTAAGATAACATTGGACACTTTGATTAATTATTTGAAAGCCTGGGAGTGATGTCTGCTTTGTTTAAGAATAAGCCATAATTAAATAAATGTGAACTCATCTGAAAGAGGACATCTCTAAGGTTGTGCAAGAAAAGCACTGAGAAATAATTGTGTAGAAGTTGTAAAGCTTTTAATGGAAAGACAGGAACAGGAGCAGAAGAAGTGATTAAAAACATATTGGGTGCTTGTTAAAAAAATAACATTTTGCTCATATAAGGTTTTACTTGTGTTAACAGTACTCTTGAAACATGGCTATGGCTACTCCAGTTGTTTCACCAGCTTATAAATTTTGAGAACATAGCCATATTTGAACACTTAGTATGACTTGTACATTCCACTGGGCTCAGTAACACTGTTTAGTTCAGACAAAGGGCAAATGTTAGTCCAGAATCTGTTACCTAGCCAAGGCCCCTGAGTTCAGTTTTTTAAGGTTCACTGTTTAAGTATCTGACATTTTCTGATCTTTTAACAATATGTTTTCTATTAACTATCCTTCTTTGTTTAAAATAATTATTTCTTCATTATATTCTTAAGGCTGAGCCATTTCAAATTATAAATGGGGAAAAGGTTGTGTTCTGTGGCCTGTGTTATGAGACAGCTGAATGGAGAAATTTTGTATAACCTCCCCAAAAACAAAGAAATACAGTGTGTTAAATTAGTGCCAGACAGAGGAATTCTCCATTTTTTCTGCCAGTTTTCATTTAATTTTATGAAATATAATTATCTTTTAAAAATACTTCAAAAGAGAATTTCTGATGAACACCTATGGGTAGAATGTGTTCCTGCATTTATATAGGTATGAGATGGCAAAGGCTGTATGTGAATATCCTATCTTTTATTGTACAATCATCTTTCCAATACTTGATATGTCCAGTCATCTGTAGCCTCCCTGGTTTTTCATATTTCTCAAGAGAACACCTCATGAGAGAACTCCTTCGGACTTTTTAGTATTGATCTTAGTACCAGTATTAAGAGGTAATCATGCACTTGAGAATTTGTTGGGAGTTTTTCCTTATCCTGAAGAATTCAGGGAAATCAACCATTCAAATTCTATGCCCAACATGTAGAGGAAAATTTTGAAAGGCAATTTGTGAATGGCTTTGTATTGAATTCTAACTTTCATCATTTATGATCTACATAACAGTGATGGGAATTGTAGTCCTACCTGAAGTTATAGAAGACTTATTTTGTTGACATATGGACCTTGTAATAGAGTACCTATTGAGTTCAAGGGAGATGATTGAAAGATGCAGAGCTGCAGGGTTGTCCTGTTCCCCTCTCCTCCTCATCTTTCAGTTGTATTCACTTAAAAGACAGTGAGAGCAGTTTCACTTTCTCAGCTCCAAGCTATGTTGAATTTTGTGCAAACAATTCTCCTCTTGACTGACACAGCCTATGACTTCTAGCTCAAAGCTATTTTAAACAGAAGTCACTTAGAAGGTTGAAATATCAACTTAAGGTATGTATGTACCTAGCTCATTTGCACCTCTGGATATTGCTAAATGCTAGAACTATTTCCATCTAGAATTAAGAAAGGGCTTCAAGTTATACTGACTGGCATACCTCCATCGATCAGACTGCAGCTGTTCTCTGCTGACTTGTCTCTGGCAGGTAAAACTGATCTTGTTAATCTTTTGTCATTTTTTGCTCCACTTTCTGCAATGAATAGAAAGGTTTTGTAGTGCTTCCTTCTCTTCAACTTCCTTGAATAGTGGCTATGAGAGATCGTGGGGCGGCTGGGAACATAACAGAAGGGAGAGTAGACATAAGCAGTCAAGAAACAGAAAGTAACTCTGTTTGCAGCTTATCTCATAAATGGCAATTCAGCCCAGATGGCAAGAAACCCAGTAAGAAACATTTTAAATCATTCAAAAAGACTCTTTAATTACTCTAAAGGAGAGTGGTAAATTCCTTCTACAGTTTCCAGTATTCTGTATTTACCTGCAGTCTAGCATTAAAAATACCTTACTAAATCTTTGTAGTTCTTTCTTCCTTGATCTTGCCCAGCTGTGTTGAGTTTGACTTTGCCCAAAGAATCCTTCTGGTCAATCTCTCCCTTTTCCCACAAACAAATTCAACTCAGCTTTGCTAGCCCATGGTGGATTTAACTAAAACCAGCAACCCAACTTCAACAGCCAGTGGCTAAATCCATTTCAGGCTTTTCCTATCTTTTCCTCTGCAAGCTACTCCTTCCCAGAATCTCTGATGCAATGTGGCCTTTGATACTGACATCAGCCCACCTCCAACCCCTCCTTCTTACATGAGAGCTTCCCAGTAAGAATCTAAATTCTACTCTACTCTCAGGTCCTTATCATCAAAGCAAGTACTAACTGTTTTGTTTGGCTGTTTGCATGGATACATTAAGACCTAACAAGATGCTATGGCAGATAACTGGCTCGTCTTAGAACTATTACTAATGCTATTATTCTAATACCAGGAAAGTTCTCATTTATCAAATCATCTTATATACTGTACATTGTTCAGCTATTATTTTCAGTACATTTCTTTGAGATAGGTAAAGCTGAAAAATATTGACTGCTGCAAGATGTTCCAGTAATGGTCATGACTAAATATGGCTGTAAACTTGGTTCTCAAGTCATATTTTGACACTAATCATGACACTAGATCAATCATTATATATTGCTCAATATTTATCTGAATATATGTTTCTATGTTCATTGACACTACAATAATTTTATATATGTTTATATACAAAGAAGGAGACAGCTAATGGAAGTAGGTGAAAAATATACTAGAATAATTATCCACTAATATGTGATTAACAATTCAAAATTATAATGTAGGTTGGGTTGTACATTTTTTTCCTGTGAAGAAACCCTATTGAAATCAATGTGACTTACTTTCAAAGAGTTTTTAGGACTGTGAGGATCCTTTGTTAAGGTGTTAAACTCTACATTTACATCATAAAGGGTCTATAGATGCTGAAAGGCTTGTGTAGTTGCTTAAGGACTTTCCAGATCTTCTGAATTTCTATATTCTGGTATTTTTATGAATGCTTAGTCTTGGAAATGACTTCTGTATGAAACTGGAGAACTGCTGGTGGGCATTGTAAACAGACACAGCAATAATCTAACGTGGTATAAGACCATTTCATAATAAGATATTGGTGCTGGCTGAAAGTACTGACTGATGTTGCAAAAATGTTACGCTGAAAGATGGATGGGCAATGACTTGTATTAACAGCAGCAGTTTCTTTCTCTAATCTTGTTTTTTTTAATGAATCTGTCACATCAATAAATTAATGAAAATAAGAGGAGGTAATAAAACTAAAAAAGGAAAACAAATTTGGGGAAACTAGGACATAGATACATATGAATTTTTAAAGAAAAATATTTCAAGTTTTTTGAATATCAATATTCAATATTTTCAGTCCCAAATCTCTCTGTATATACTAAAATGGAAATACTTTGTGAAAGAGTGAAGACCAGATCTGAATAAAACAATCTTTAATTTAAGGGTTCTTCAATTCTCTTTATTGTCACATTAATTTTTCAGCCACATCTTTATAAATTTTGAACCAGTGACAAATATAGATAGCTTTTACACTATTTTGCTATGGTAAATTGAACAGAATCCACATTGAAATTTTAACCAGTTCTTTAGTAAAGAATTTTTTCCGCATCTTCACAGTCTTCTCTGTAGCTCTGAGACATCTTGGTGGTCTTAATTCAAGCCCTAACCAGACATTATCCTGCTTAGCATTTTGAGATTAGTTTGGGTAAGTTAGGCTCCAGAGATTGTAATGTATGCAATTTGATTTACCACCCTGTACCACAATATATATGTTTTGCTTAATATAAAGAAATTGAAAGGAGTATACTGTTATGTATTAATTATGTTATGGTCAATTCTTGATGAATCATCAAAATAGATTTGAAAACAATTTTATACCAAAATGACTTCTACACAGATTAAGAGAATTGTATCTTAGATCCTTTTCCTATATTTCTTTGCACTTTAAAGAGATCCTGCTATATTTTACATGAATATTTTATATAATTTCAGTGTAATGGTTTTAAATGAAGTAGGTATATGTTATTTTGTTCCTGAGATAATTGACATTATCTGATCAGTTTGAAAATAATTAATTGAAGTTATATTAATTGAATCCACATTGAAGATTTAACCAGTTCTTTAGCAAAATATATTGACATAGATATCTTTCAATAATAAAATCTCTGATCCTAAAAGTTTTCTATCTTCCCAGTCCCGTTATTGGTTATATTTATCTACATATTCAAGGAATGGGAGAAAACGACAGGAATTTAGGTCATAAATTGTTTCCTCCTTTTCC